ACAACCTGTTTATATTGATCAGATTTCCTAAAATAACTTTCAGATTTTATACAAATCACTTCTTTTGATCATGTTGGCACTGGAACAACATAACGAAGCAGTAATTTTCATGGCATATGTTAACTGTTGCACTAGTAAAGACTGATTGAAAAATAAATCTTGCTGTTCACAGGTTGGTCTTAATTAAAAAATAGTACTTAATTAAGCTGCTCTGTCATTATGCTCATTTAGTTAATACATTCTTATTATGATTACGCATTCAGGAAAAACAAAACTTGTTGTGTGGACATACAGACAGACGTCACTTGGGGCTGATTTTTAAGACATGTATATGTACGTGTATACTTAGGCAGTTCTTGAGACAATAAATGTGCCTTTTGACCTTGTGATTTCTGAATAACTGAAAACCATACATCTTATGTATCTAATTGTGCATTACAAAATCCCATTGTGAAAGAATCCCAGAAAAATACAGTCAGGTGCAGCTGCCTCTTTGCTAGTAAATTTTAAAGTAAACCTCAGTACTAATTACAGCAGCAGGACAGGTTATATACATTTACTGAAAGTGCCAGTCAAATGTGCATGTGCTTTTTACTACAGTTCCTGAAGCTCTTCCAATTTAATACCAACTCAACCAGTGTAGTTGTAGTCAACCTTCACTTAGTTTTTTAAGATCAGATCCCCATCGACTGCTTTAAAAAAAAAAAAAAGGTACCTGAATACAGTTCCAGGCTACAGCCCTGTTATATTAGTTTAATATTGACACCTGGTTTATATCAAGTATGATCTTAATTTTTTTACCCAATAGCAAGCAAAACATATTTGCTGTTTTAGAAGGGTGGTGGAGACTCCCTGAAGAGAGTTCCTCAAAGATGTGATTCTACTGCAGTGAAGGTGAATGATTTCTCTCTCCTTTCCTGAAGGTAAAAACGCAAGCCTATCCTCATACGTTACAAAGTACTGTCCAGTTTAACTGGCTGCAAAACACAACTCAACATACTTTCACTCCCAGAAAACTGTTAGAAGCATATAATGGTTTTTGACTAGGAACAACCCAGCCCAAGTAACTATTATGTTCTGAAAGTCCTGGAGAGGCAGGTATTAGAAAATATTTCTCAAGAAACAGAAAAATGTTCTGCTTTTCTTCTCTTTTCCTCTTTTTTCTCCCAAATGAGGCCAGCAGTACCTTCCCAACTGAGCAGGACGTTTTCATGCCCACATTTGCCTTCCCTGCAATATTCACAGTGCCCCAGGCAGGCTCTTCTGTGGCTCTGCTTCCCCCAACCTTGTCCCCATCCCTTCCCTGCCTTTTCATGCTGCCCCTCCAAACCTGTCCTTACCTGAAGTGTTGCAGAGGCACTGGAAAGGACTGAAGTGAGTGCCATTCCATAAGTGATTAATAAGCTTTAGGCATAAGGCTAGGAGAGGTAGACTTCAGTACCTCAGAGACCAATCCCTTTTGCAAGGTCCAGAGAAAATAATCTGAGGACTGGCATTGGTGCATGGTAATCTTTACTTTCTTTATTTAGTATTATTTGTGGGAAGGAGGGTTTTCTGTGCTTACTGACAGGCTGACATAGCCTTTCAGCTTCAGACTCCCTTCAGACCACAGCTGGGAGAGCTGCAGACTGAACAATTTCAAAGTCTGAGTGAAAAGAAAATGCAGTCCTAGTGCCAGCTAAGCCAAATACATTCCTTCTCTTTCAGCAAGCTGTACCCCTCACATTTAACTTTGTAAAAGGAGGTGCACCAGAGGCAGAAGCAGCACAATATGCTCCTGCTGTTCCCATGCAGCAATGGCTTACCAAAATAAATCACCTAACAGACTCAGGTAGGCAGGGAAGGGCAGTTTTGCATTAAGCACATCACCCAGGCTTTGCAGCCTCTCCTTGCCTCACACACCCGATGTCAGAGGCACTCTAAGAAACAAAGAAGGACCACTTGGCTGAGTTCAGTATTAACTCAGGTTTTGTAGTACCCAACCCACCAAACCACCACAGCACCAGCCAACTCCCCTTGCCAGCACAAAGCCATGTAGCCCTGCAGGCCAGCTCAGTGCACACCTCACCCCTTCTGCCCTTTCTCCTCCAAACAGGAATTCCCCTAAGCCTCCCAGGTCCCAGTCTTGTCCTGAGGGACCATTCATAGGCACCCACCATGTGAGAAAGGCTCTGCCCCACAGGGCCACCACCTGCTCAGAGTCCTGAGAAGGTGCTTGGGCCTGTTGGGCCTGGGCAGGTGACCTTCACTTGGCTGGAGATCCTGAGAGGGACCCAACTGTTCATCCAGTTGAGGATGAACTCCTCAGCTCCTTGAGGAGCTACTCTTGGACTCCTTTTCCAGCCAGATACCTTGGGATAGGGAAAGGAAGGGTGGGACAGCAAAAGGACCAGAGCAGGTCTGTGAGAAGTGAGAATGAGGCTCAGAAGGGATAGAAATTGCTTTTATTAAAAACATTCTAAAATGTTATTTATAAAATGCATTTCATCCTCTGCACTGGGAAACAATTCAGGAACATACAACTGTTGAGGCCTCTTAATGCTTTCAGAATTTCAACTCACAAAACAGGCTTAAGCTATAGAAACTTGTTACACATCTAACACCACAGGCAAGTGTAGATTTCAAGGATTTTAGAAAGATTTCAGCCTTCAAATATCAATTTGTTTAAAGAGAGACTTTTGATAAGCAGCCCATGTGCATACCTGAAAATATCCACTTAGTACAGCAGACTCATCTTTAAAATTCAATGGTTTGTGTCAAAATACAGTATTAAAAGATACAAAATAAATAATTTGCAGAATTCAAAAAAGTTATTTAATAAATAAGGATGCATTGTGAGATACCCAATGTACAGTAATTTCTCCACTAAAAAACCCAACCTGTATAGAAATTTGAATAAATACCCTTTTGTGAATTTTTTTACAAGTAAACAACTCACCCTTCCCTTCCAATTCCCAGATTAACACTGAAGGAGATTTAACTCCTCCAGAGTGAAGGAGTATGTGAAACAAACAAAAGTACTTCGTTTATTTGCCTCGAGAGTTTACCAGTTTAAAGTCACTCCCACACTCCTTGGGACAACTTGTCCCAAAACTGCAAAAAGCTTTTAATCATTTAACTTACTGTGATGTGGTTCTGTTTTTACACAGGTCTGCTTGTTTTACACAGTGCATTAAAGACATGAAGGCTAAAGCCCTACTGTAACTCCAGTAGGTTTTGAGATGAATTCACAGCACAGCAGAAGCAAAGGTCACAGTGATTCCAAAGACATTGGAATGTATGTTGAACACATTTATATCTGCAAAGCAAAGGCCCCAAACAGCAGCTGAGGACTGTACCGATTGGCATTCATCCATGGTTTCCCTGGAAAGGCACTTTTTTCACTGCAGGAGTTTTAGCTACTGGAAGTTCCATATGGACTTAGGTGGGGTCACTTTCAAAGAGGCACAAAGGGAAAAAGAATCCTCAAATAAAAAAAAAAAATCACTTTGGCCTTCAAGTCAGGGAAATGAAACAGATGTTAGCAGTATTTCGGGAATCCTCTGTCAAGTTAAACAATGTTGATGGAATGCTGTGTGCAGCTATGATTCAATTTAAGAGGTTTTTAATTGGATTACTTCAAAGATACGTTTAGAAAAGAGCTACGCAAACAGCTGAGTCAGCACAACTGATTTATGGCACTGCCATAAATCAGGTCTACTGCCAAGAGAGTAATAAGCCTATTTTAATATAGTCATAGGTTAAAACAATAAATCTAAGCCCCACATTAACTTTTGGCAAGGTTTAATATAAACAAAATTATTCTGCAGAAGACAAGAAAATGCTTAGAACCACCTGTTACTAGAACTTACCTGGTGAAGACTGGGCTGATGGGTGTTGAAGCCAGTCTTGGCTGAATGACATGTTTTTATCACAGAAATTTCTACACAGATAAAAGAATTCAACTGTCCTTTAAGTATTGCTTTATTCCTCCAAAGAGAGTAGAACTGTCACCAATTAGGGTTTTTTTTCAGATCAGTAATTTTTTTCTCCTCATGCATTTTCAAGATAGCTGGATAGCAAACTATGTGTCTAAAACAGAGTCTTAAGAAGTGCCACCTCAAACCCCAAGGTACACACACTGTTTTCTTCCCAATAGGACAGCTACAACCTCTGTTCCGTTTAGAGTGAGGACATTACAAAACTTAATCCAGAGATATGAGCTAAAAAGTATGAAGGAGTTGGGTCAATTTTCATTTACTAGGATTACAGGAACCAGACTTCATCTAGGCCATGGATGAAGACCCACACTTCTATCCCACACTTTCTCCCTGAGGACAGGATGGCTTGGGGTCCATCAGGGGAAAGACATCACACACTTGCAGATGAACAACAGTGAAATCTGTATGGGTCGAATTCAAGGGTAGACAGACAAGTGTGGCTTTAAGATACATAAAATTACTGCAGTTTTAAAACAAGGCAAGGGAGGTATGAATATCTCTGTGGAGAACATCAGTGGTAGAACAGCAGCACCTGTGTGTTAACCATCACAGCCAGATCAGGAATTAAGGCCTTGGAGACACATCAAGTAACTACGTTGGCAAGAGCTACGTTTTCAATAAGGTTTCCTGAAACATGAGACGATTCTCCATAGAGCCTCAGCAATACCAGTATGCTGTTATGAACAGCAGAAGAATCAAGTGAATGCCTAAGTCTCATTCAAGCTGCAACATGCCTTTTAGAAAGGTGCTTAAATGCTCAAATGGCTCAATCTAATAAATAAATGTAAGCTGAGCATTGCCAGTGCTCTGTGTGTTAACACTGCTTCACAGTTAAAGTAAATATATTGGACCTGGGAATATCTACAGTACCACATTATCTCAAACCTTTGGTCACAGTCCCTTTATATTTTAAACACACACCGCTCCAGGATTTGCTAATAAAATTTAGCAAGAAAATGTGGGTGTGTCATCACTAGCATTTTCATCCAATAGCCAATCTCCAAGTAAATACAGCACACCTCAGAACTCGTTTGTACCTTTAAAGTAACATCAAGCTTTAACACAGGTAGGTGTCCAGTAACACCTCACTGGAACAGATAAAAATGAAATAGAATACAGCTAAGATTAGGCTCCACTGCCAGTCAGATGAGTGTGCACCTTCAGAGCACACTTTTGGAGAGCTGGAATGCAATTGGGAAGAGTTTCTTTTCAGTTAAAATTAGTCTTCCGTAAATTCTTATTAGGGATTTCTACGGCACTGACTTGAAGAGGCCAGGACCCTGCAACAATTCCTGCTTGGATGGCTACACCCGTCACAACTGCCAGGTCAGGATCTACAGAGGTGTTGGGTTCCTTCCCAAAGAAGTCCCGAATAACTTTACGTATTTGGGGAATCCGCGTGGAGCCACCGACTAACACAATTTCATCCACTTCTCCTTTGTCTACGTGGCCATCCTGCAACACTTGCTCAATGGGCACAAGAATCTTCTCAAAAAGGTCTTCATTTAACCTCTCAAACAGCTTCCGAGAGATTTCCATTTCAAACACAACTTCAACAAAGCCGTTCTCTGCTTCGGAAGTGTCTCCAAGGCTGTTCAGGTCTCTTGTTTTTTGTGAAGGCTCACCTTTTAGCGCACTGCTTGGTTTTACCTGACTTTTTGGAAGTTCTTTGGTAAGCCTGTTTTCTGGCAGAGTCAACACCACACAGCGTAGCTGCCTCATGAACAGTCAGATTTAATTTAACTGCTTCCACAGCCTGTCTGAGGCGGTGAATCTCTTCCTTTCGGGTTGGCAGAGAACCGTATGTTTGACGGAGGTGATCATACAAATACAGCATCAACCTCTGATTGAAATCCTGTCCTCCAAGTTTGTTGTTACCTGAAAGATCAAAATAGAAGGCATCAGACACATCACTTTCAAAGCAGCATGTATCTTCTTTACTGGGAGGTGGTGCTCAAGGATCAGAACAATCATGCAAGCACAAGAGCTCACAGAGCTGTGAAAACAGACAAAAATGTTGTCCTCTGAAGAACAAATGATGGATAATAATTTCCATTGTTTTGTTTTGACTGAGAACAGGAATTTACTCAGTGGACCTCTGTCTAAATAAATTAGAATGAAGCTGCTGAATCTTCCTTGCTGTTCCACTCTTACAGCAGCTCACATCAAAACTTGCTCATCAAGGTTGGCACTGCACCTCAGACCTGTCTGCACCCAAGTCATCTGAAAGGCAGTCGTGCACTCACTACAGTCTGACTAAATATTGCTGCCACTTGCCTCTGTGCCGAGTGATGAATCATCCTGGCACACAGGAATCACAAAACTTACTTCTGGGCATGGGCATTCCCAAAACCCACTCCACTGAGCTGGCACCAAACACAAAGCCGGGATGCTTTTCAGCCCCGGTCAATGATTTGCCAAGTATTCCCAGTTTGGAAAAAGTAACAGGAAGATTTGTAACAACCCTAGCCCTGCAAAAGCCCAGCCAAAGTAACTGTAACATGCACCAGCACTTTACTAGTGGGCACAAAAGTTGACAGCCATGGATAAAATGAAACCACGACTTACCCCTTGAGTCAGCCAAAACCTGAGACTCTGTGATCTTACTCACTGAAACCAGTCACAAACCTAATTCTGCATGGAAAGCAGCAGAGAATGCATTGGGAGAACATTTTGTGACACAACTGGTAGGTTTTAGAAAGCTCCTCCAATGGCAACTTCATATGCACCTTTCCTCTCACTCCTTCAGAAACAAAAGCATTTTTCTCACCTGCCATGGCTCGTGTGTAGAACATCCCTCCCATCTTGTTCAACAGAGACACATCCAAAGTTCCTCCACCCAAATCCACCACCAGAACATTAAACACATCAACTTTGTGGAGTCCATAAGCCATAGCTGCAGCTGTGGGCTCACTGATTACTCGCAAAACCCTCAGCCCTGCAAAGAGCAGAAACAAGAAGCAACAGTCAGGTACACTTCAGAAAACTGCAGTTCTCACATCAGAATGACATTTGCCATTACTTTGTTTTTTATTTAAACCAGATTCATTTTAAGTAAAATGTCAGATCTAAGGGAAGTAGTTTTCTGAGGGGTAATACCCAATGAACTCCTTTCCTTAGTTAATCCTAAAGTAGTACTGCTTCAGCATCAGGGCAAAGTCATGAACCACCATTTGCCCAAATACATTTCTTCTGGACAAACCTTGCTAAGGAGCCTTAACTTCATACATTCTGTTTCTGTTATTGTCCAAGGGTGCTCTATACAGTCTCCCTATTTGGAGATTACCAAAACCTCTATTTTCCCCAAAGCAAAACTTCCTTCTTCCAGACACCTATGTCTGCATTATCCAGTTGCACCTGCTGGGACTTGTAGACTGAATCCATTCTAAGCTTCTCTATCACTGATTCACTGTTTCTGCATCCTCCCCAAAGACCTTACTGTTAGTGAAACAGACCTGAAGGTTTCCTAGAAAAACACTGGAATACATCACCTGCAAGGTTAGCTGCCTTAACAGTAGCATTCCTTTGCCTTTCATCAAACTCTGCTGGCACAGACATGACTGCCTTGGAAATGGGCATGCCAAGGTTGGCTTCTGCCATTCTCTTCAGTTTCAGCAGCAGCTGGGAGCCAATCTGCTCTGGAGTGACGTGAAAGGTTCCATTAGTTGTCACAGAAAATTCGGCTGATCCGTTGTTGTTGAAAATCTAGAAGGATAAAGCAACACAAGCCACAGGTGAGAAGTCATTTTCCCACCCTGCTCCCACCACGTTTTATCTGCACACAGTGTCTTTAATCTGCAAAAAATACAAATGTGCTTTTGCCACTGCCTAGATCACATTAATTTCTTGGAGAATTATAGAAAACATGCCACTTAAGGGGTCCAAGTATATCCAAACAAGTGACACCCACTGAACCCCAGTAAGACACATCAAAAGAAGTTAAGACCTAGCAACTGTGTAATCCATTTCAACACCACAAAGACAGAAGTGATGCTTTTTAATCATTAGGTTACCCTACTGATAAAGCTTCCCACCACTTCTTCTTTTTGAAAGGAAGCAAACAGCTTGGTACTGGAACAGCTTCTCTTAACAAGTAAAGAATTCAGAAACTATTTGCAGTACCTGAAAATTGGTCTGTTTTCAGCAAATTCTGCACCATGTTCAATTAATGTAATACTTTTTTTTAGTAAAAAGCAGTTTTCAAGACATGCTGCTGGTCAAGTAAGCACTAGAAAAGTGGTAGACGAAAAAAATGCACTGGGGCAGAGATGTGACTTTTAAACTTTTATTTGATCTTTTTTTCAGAATTTCAGGGGAGAAGTGAAGTTTCAGCAAAGTACAGTTAGCATTTCAAGTTGAAATTTATCCTTCCAGAGAAAGGGCTGGAAGGTTACCCAGGCACACATTTCCTCGTAGGAAAAACCAGGGTTTTATGGAAAAATCACTGTCATCTCTTGTGCAGAGGTACATGACTTCCACAACCATTTCCTTCCCCTCTCTGGATATCTCTCAGGGTTTTCAGGCAGATTTAGCCAAATGACTCAAGGTCTGACAAGCTGATCACCCGTACAAATTTCAAGTGTCACAGAATCACAGAATGGTCTGGGTTGGAAGGGACCTTAAAGCTCTTAAAGCCCTGCCCCTGAAAATGGGCAGGGACACCTTCCACTAGACCAGGTTGCTCAGAGCTCCATCCAACCCGGCCTTAAACACTTCCAGGGATGGGACAGCCACACCTTCTCTGGGCAACCTGTTCCAGTGCCTCACCACCCTCACAAAAAAGAATTTCTTCCTAATATCTCATCTAAACCTGCTCTTTTCCATTTTGAAGTCATTCTCCCCTGTCCTGTCACTACGTGCCCTTGTAAACAGTCTCTCTCTACCTTCCTTGAAGGCTCCCTTCAGCTACTGGAAGACCACAATTTGGTCACCCCAAAGCTTTCTCTTTTCCAGGTTGAACAATCCCAATTCTCTCAGCCTTTCCTCATAGCAGAGGGGCTCCAAACCTCTCATCAACTTGGTGCCTCCTCTGGACTCGCTCCAACAGGTCCATGTCCTTCCTGTGCTGGGGACCCCAGAGCTGGAGGCAGCACTGCAGGTGGGGTCTCACCAGAGCAGAGCAGAGCAGAGGGGCAAAATCCCCTCCCTCCCCTGCTGCCCACACTGCTCTGGATGCAGCCCAGGACACGGGGGGGTTTCTGGGCTCCCAGTGCACATGGCTGGGTCATGTCCAGCCTCTCACCCACCAGCACCCCCAAGTCCTTCTCAGCAGGACTGCTCATCCCCCAGCCTGGACTGTGTCCTACAGCTTCCTGCCTGGAGGGAACTGAAGATGCTGCTTACCTTAAAGGGATACCTGCTGCTTTCATTTTTCAGTTCTTCCAAAGTGATGATTTTCCCAATGAATCTCTTGGCATCATATATGGTGTTCTGAGGGTTGGCATCAGCCAGTTCCAGGGCATATGTCCCACATACACCCCTCTGTCCGTGAAGGAGACCACACTTGGGATGCTTTTGTGCCCGTTCTCATCTGCAATGACCTTCACCTCTCCTATTCCAGGCAGGAAGACACCGACGGAGCAGTAAGTGGTGCCGAGGTCGATCCCAAGGACTCTGGGGGTGGGCATGGGCAAGTACTGCTGTGCCAGGTAGCTGGCCAACAGGAGAGCCAGAACAGCAGAGCCTGAAACACAGAGTGGTGAAAAACAGGGTTGGAGGATCTACTGCTGCAAACCTGTCAGTCAGTGCAAATGGCACGGTGTCACACTCTGCACCTCCTGCAGTTTTATTTCACACACTGGAGCCTGTTCAGCTCCCTAATTAGATTTTAATTTCTTCAAAGGTCACCAGCAAATTCAGGTCTCTTAATTGAACAGAGAGTGGCTGTCAAAAATCTCAGCCATTAAATACTAAACTGATGAAAAAAAGAAAGCCCAAGAGAGACGGCAAACCCAAAAATATCACCACACTGTAATAATTCCTTTTCTCTCTTACTTCAATAACACAATTATACTTCGGGGGGAGTGCCTTTGAATGACCCCAAAAGGACACAGAATTAATGGGGCTGCACAAAATCCCAGTGAAACAACAAACTCCCAATTCAAACACCTTCTCCAGCTTTACTGAAGTCTGAAAATAAGGAGATACAAACCCCTGCTGACTCATTCTGTTTCAGCCAGAGCTCCCAAAAAGCATCTTTTCTATGCCTTTAAATCAAGGGTTAGACTTAAGTGCAGAGTAGTTTGCTGTTTGACTAGTTTTGCCTTTAATTTTATTTATAATCATCAGGCACAACAGGAAACCCAAAAGTCAAGCATAAAGTAATGCCTCAGGGGAAGGGGAAAATAAAAAGCACCAACAAACAAAGTCTGGAGAAGAAATTTAAACAGGTTAAATTTCAAAATGTGGTTGAGCACTTTTTTCCCAGCAGGGAAGAGCTGTCACAGTTGTGCTTCAAACAGACCGGTCAGAAAGTCCTAGTTTGGTCTGAGCTGTTAATTTCTTAGCCATGCACCACTGAGGGCTCTGGCTGAAACAGAATCCCAGAACGGGTCAGGCTGGAAGGGACCACAGTGGGTCACCTGGTCCAACCTCCCTGCTCAGCAGGGTCATCCCAGAGCACACGGTGATCTGTTCCCGTGCTCGGGTGGACCTTCCCGTGCATCAGCTTCTCCCGTTGCCTCTTGTCCTATCGCTCGGCATCACCGAGCAGAGCCTGGTCCTTCCCCTGACACCTCCCTGCAGACACTGACAGACCTTGGTGAGGTCCCTCTCAGTCGTCTCTTCCCCAGGCTGAACAGAGACAGCTCCCTCAGTCTTTCCTCCTAGGAGAGATGCTCCAGTCCCTTACTCATCTTTGTCCCCTCCGCTGGATCCGCTCCAGGAGCTCTGTGTCCCTCCCGTACTGAGGAGCCCAGAACTGGACGCAATGGAACGCACCGAGCACAGGAAACTCGCACCACCCTGGAGAGACAGCCCGGGGCAATGCCGCCGGCAAAGAGACGCGAGACCCCAGCGAATCCCCCCACGAAAGCCCCCTAAACGCGTCCCAGCCGCGCCGCCGCCTCACCCAGTACCGCCATCTGCCCCGCCATGATTGCCGGCAGCTGCTGACGCCTCTTTCCGGCCCGCGCGGGGCACGCTGGGATCGGTAGTACGCGCGCCCCGCCAGCCCTTTTCACGTCGTTCTACTACGGGGCGAGTGAACCACAACTCCCAGCACACATCGCGGCGCCGCCGGTTCGGGCGGGTACCGGCCAATAGGCGTCATCCATTTGGAGGGGAGGGGCGGGCGGCGGGAGAGGCAGTGCATGCGCATCTCCTGGCGGGGCGGTCGCTGTGGCTGCTGGGAGTGGTAGTTCCTCCCCCGGCGCCTCGTTGCGCTCGCGCCCTCCGGCCGGCGAGCGGCGGCAGAGACCGCGGGTGTGGCGGTGCCGAGTGAAGGCAGCAGCCCGTTAATAAACGCAGCCAAAAAAGTTGTTGTTATATTCCTGACTGAAAAGGGGAGATTTGCTCAGACACTTTGTGTCTGATCAGTCTGTGAGTGCGCCAGGCAAGACGAGGCCCTTTGCCCGACCAGTCCGTCCCACCCTCTTCACTGGATCAGCGGCGCTTCCAATGAATTACCAAGGGTCACACACCAAACAGAGAGACCCCACCCGGGTCTCCACACCTTTACCCACTGCCAGCACCGTTATAGGACTCACGTTAACAGTGTACACAATAACTCTGTTAATGTGATTATGACAGGTTAAGGTTCGAGCACTGCCGGTGACAGTATCTGACTGTAAAAACGTATTCAAGACAATATACTAATTCAAGGCAATATACAGACAAGCCACCCTAATAAAATCCCTAATAAAAATTAGCGTGAGATAATCATTCAGCGCACACAGAGCACAGTTCTTACCCAATAGGTGTCCCTATGAGGGAGAAGAGAGGTTCAGCTCGCCCACTGATCCCAGAAGTTGTGATGCAGTCTTCCCTAACTTCTCCCCATTCTTAACTTACTTTTATACTATTTCTTTACGTTTAGGTGGAGGTTGAGTGACTTTAGCCATGCATACTCAGTCAGAAGTGATCGTACATTGGGGATGGATATCTCAGTACCTGAGATACCCTTGTGATGGGGACGTGTCAGTCCAAGGAGAGGGATTTTGCCACAGTTGCTGACATCTTCCTTTATTTCCCTTGGTTTTCAGCTGCTGTGCAGCTGATCAGCTAGAAAGTTCCCTCCTTTGCAAGGGTTTTGACAGAGCCTGGCTGCGGTGTCTCCACTCCACTCCACTCCACCCTCCAATTAGTCCCCCTTGTTTCGTATTGTGTGTGGGAGGTCGGGTGTGCTGACTGCGCTCCAGCCAGGGAGTAGCAAACATATTTTCCCTTACGGTTTCCAAATCATTATCTTCTTAGCCCCAGTCATGTTCCCACACTGACATTCCTATTTCAGAGCTCAGGCCAGGTGGGCATCTGCCATGTCAGTTCAGGGGCAGTCACTGGGTCTGGCTGCTGCACACTGGGGGTGACGTGGAAAAGCACTGGGTGCTGTGTCTGTGGACAAGGAAACCCCTGCTCCGGGACCTGACCTTTACTGCCAGTGCCTGTCTTGGGACATGGGAAGGGCTTTTAATCCAACATGTTACGCAGTGGCAGAGCACTTGTGTTTCATCTGCTCCTGTTGCCAATGTAGGTGTAAGCAATGGTAAAATTTACTCGTCAAAATATATATATTGTATTTTCTGTATATTATAGCTAATGCTTGGTTGGGACTAGGGAGTTGTAAGCTGCTGTATTATTATTATAAGTTGACTGTCCTGCAACTGGCAGTTCCCAAGTTGGCAAAGATAGAGTATCTTGCTTTACTGAGCACATATACCATATCCTGCTTTTCTAAAAATATTGTCTAAGTTATTAATTAGGAAAGAAGAAGAGAACGAGGATCAGAGGGTCAAGGATGGACATGATAAAGAAAGAGCCAAGGAGAACATCTGGACCATCTGGAAACCTTCCCATAGTCAGCTCCAAGGACATTGGGCTAATTAAAGCTATCGATGGAAAAGTCCCTGGCACTTGAAATGGGCCTACAACAGAACCAACCAGAACGAAGCCCGCAAACCCAAGCCCAATCAAGAGCTAACAAGTGACTATGGGAGGGGGAGTTGGAAAAGTATAAAAGTTGCTGTTTGTTTTTATTGGGCTTGTGGGCCGGTGGGGAGCAGGGGTCTCTCCAGGCCACCCAGCATGCTGATTTGCTTATCTGCACTTTATATAAATCTCACAATAAATTTTGCTGCTAAATTTTGATTTGGTTTATTTACCTATGACAGGAAGAAACTTCATTTCTATCAATTTTCGGGAGGTGGAACGGGAAATTACAGCGCAGCACTATAAAAGCGGAAGAGCAGCCCTTTACCCATGGACAGAAAGCCTGTGAGGTTTGGCTTTCAGGTGCAGTGTGTGGCGCAGCCTGGGCACTCCGTGGGCAACCAGGGCTTTCTGTGCTGGCACCTTTTCCCTATGAGGAATCCTCATTTGGATCGGGTTTGGGTGGGCAGGCCAGCAATGGTAGGGTGGGGCTGACCAAAGGGGACAACAGCCCTGTTTCCCAGGAGAGAAAGGCTGTGAGCTTTGGCTTTCAGGTGCAGTGTGTGACGCAGCCTGGGCACTCTGTGGGCAGCCAGAGCTTTCTGTGCTGGCACCTTTTCCCTGCGAGGAATCCTCATTTGGATCGGGTTTTGGGGGGACGGTCTGGAAATGTCGGGGCGGGGCTGACTAATGGGGACAGCAGCCCTGTTTCCCAGGACAGAAAGCCTGTGAGGTTTGTCTTTCAGGTGCAGTGTGTGGCGCAGCCTGGGCACTCCGTGGGCAGCCAGGGCTTTCTGTACTCACACCTTTTCCCTGCGAGGAATCCTCATTTCTATTTGGTTTGGGAGGGGCTAACCAGCAATGGCGGTGCGGGGACTGACCAAAGGGGACAGAAGCCCTGTTTCCCAGGAGAGAAAGCCTGAGAGGTTTGGCTTTCAGGTGCAGTGTGTGGCGCAGCCTGGGAACACCGTGGGCAGCCAGGGCTTTCTGTACTGGCATCTTTTCCCTGGGAGGAATATTAACTTGTATCAGGTTTGGGGGGGCGGGCCAGCAATGGTGGAAGAGGCAGACCAAAGAGGACAGCAGCCCTGTTGCCAGTACAGAAAGCCTATGAGCTTTGTTTTTCGGGTACAGTGTGTGGCGCAGCCTGGGCACTCCCGGGGCAACATAAGCTTTGTGTCCTGACCCCTTTGCTCTGGGAGGAATCTTCGTCCGTACGCCATTTGGGCAGTGGCACTGGCAGCTGGAGCTGCCAAAAACCAAGAGCCCTTCTCCCCAGCCAAGCAAGCCTGCAACCTTTGGCTCTTGGGTGGATTTGGTGGGCCAGCCTGGGTACTCCCCGGCCAGGAAGAGCTTTGTGTCCTGGCCCCTTTGCTCTGGGAGGAATCTTCGTCCGTACGCCATTTGGGCAGTGGCACTGGCAGCTGGAGCTACCAAAAGTCAAGAGCCCTTCTCCACAGGCAAGCAAGCCTGCAACCTTTGGCTCTTGGGTGGATTTCGTGGGTAAACCTGGGCACTCCCCGGGCAGCAAGAGTTTTGTGTCCTGGCCCCTTTACTCTGGGTGGAATCTTCGTCCGTACACCATTTGGGCAGTGGCACTGGCAGCTGGAGCTGCCAAAAGCCAAGAGCCCTTCTCCCCAGCCAAACTACCCTGCAAACTTTGGCTCTTGGGTGGATTTGGTGGGCCAACCTAAGTACTGCAATGCCAGCAAGAGCTTTGTGTCCTGGCCCCTTTGCTCTTGGAGGAATCTTCGTCCGTACGCAATTTGGGCAGTGGCACTGGCAGCTGGAGCTGCCAAAAGCCAAGAGCCCTTCTCCCCAGCCAAGCAAGCCTGCAACCTTTGGCTCTTGGGTTCATTTGGTGGGCCAGTCTGGGTGCTCCCCGGCAAGGAAGAGCTTTGTGTCCTGGCCACTTTGCTCTGGGAGGAATCTTCGTCCGTATGCCATTTGGGCAGTGGCACTGGCAGCTGGAGCTGCCAAAAGCCAAGAGTCCTTCTCCCCAGCCAAACTAACCTGCAAACTTTGGCTCTCAGGTGGATTTCGTGGGCAAACCTGGGTACTGCATTGCCAACAAGAGCTTTGTGTCCTGGCCCCTTTGCTCGGGGAGGAATCTTCATCCGTACGCCATTTGGGCAGTGGCACTGGCAGCTGGAGCGGCCAAAAGCCAAGAGCCCATCTCCCCAGCCAAGCAAGTCTGCAACCTTTGGCTCTCTGGTGGATTTAGTGGGCCAGCCAGGGCAGTCCCCTGGCAACAAGATCTTTGTGTCCTGGCCCCTTTGCTCTGGGAGGAATCTTCGTCCGTATGCCATTTGGGCAGTGGCACTGGCAGCTGGAGCTGCCAAAAGCCAAGAGTCCTTCTCCCCAGCCAAGCAGGCCTGCAACCTTTGGCTCTAGGGTTCATTTGGTGGGCCAGCCTGAGTATTCGCCGACCAGTAAGAGCTTTGTGTCCTGGCCCCTTTGCTCTGGGAGGAATCTTCGTCCGTACGCCATTTGGGCAGTGGCACTGGCAGCTGGAGCTGCCAAAAGCCAAGAGCCCTTCTCCCCAGCCAAGCAAGCCTGCAACCTTTGGCTCCCTTATGGATTTGGTGGGCCAGCCTGCGCAATCCACGACCAACAAGAGCTTTCCATCCTGGCCTCTTTGCTCTGGGAGGAATCTTCGTCGGTACGCCATTTGGGCAGTGGCACTGGCAGCTGGAGCTGTATAAAGCCAAGAGCCCTTCTCCCCAGCCAAGCAAGCCTGCAACCTTTGGCTCTTGGGTTCATTTGGTGGGCCAGCCTGGGTACTCCCCGGCCAGCAAGTGCTTTGTGTCCTGGCGCCTTTGCTGTGGGAGGAATCTTCGTCCGTACGCCATTTGGGCAGTGGCACTGGCAGCTGGAGCCGCCAAAAGCCAAGAGCCCATCTCCCCAGCCAAGCAAGTCTGCAACCTTTGGCTCTCTGGTGGATTTAGTGGGCCAGCCTGGGCAGTCCCCTGGCAACAAGAACTTTGTGTCCTGGCCCCTTTGCTCTGGG